AGCCAGGTGTTATGTGGGCACCTTTCCCTGTTCTGCCACTCTGTCCTAGGGAGCTGGCTTGGGGTTTTAATACCTAACTAGACTTAGAGGGAACTGCTCACAGCTAAGACAACCCTCAGCTACTGCCCGTGGGCACCCAGCCAGCCCTCTTGTGCCTCTGCAGGTCCTACAAGTCTCGATTTGGGGTCCTCTTTACATCCCTGGTTATAAAGGTTCTCTCCAGCTGCTCTTCATTTGGTTTTTCCAGATTACTTGTCTTTATTTTAGTTGTGATTCCAGTTTGGTCCTGGTAGATAGTCTATGTAGCTTCCATTCACTCTGCCACGATTTTGGATCCTTGGAAATACAAACTATTTTAATATGCTAACCCAATTTTCTCCCCCCACCCCTCAACCCCAAATGCCTTTCAAATCAACTGTTTTTTTTTTTTTAAATCATTCACATCCAAAGCAGACTATTCTTAGTGATTTAAGTCAGAAATGGAGGATGGGATTTAGAAATGGCTATATATGTTAGTGGTTCTTTTCTTCTTTGTGTGTGTTAATCCTCACCTGAGGATATTTTTCCATTGATTTTTTAGAGGGTGGAAAGGAGAAAGGGAGGGGAAAGAGAGAGACATCAATGTGAGAGACACATCAATGTGTTGTCTCCTGCACGACCCTAACAGGCTGGGGATCGAACCTGCAACCCAGGTATGTGCCCTTGACTGGCTATTGAACCCACGACCCAAAGGGTCTGCAGGCTGATGCTCTAACCACTGAACCAAACTGGTCAGGGCTATTATGGTTCTTGATCAAGGGAACAAAACTACCTGAAACTGGCTCAGTCCTCAAGAAAATAAATTATACATGTTAAGTCCAAAAAAAGCAGAGAACATAATAAGTAGCATTTTGTTCCCAAACCACAATGCTAAACTTTAGGAAACTAGGTTGTACCACCTGACTTTTCTCATAAGCCATGGAAGGGTGGTCAAAAGCACACTCACTGCTGTTCAAGAGGCAGGAGCTGCCTGCTCTGAGAATCTGAAACTGGAGAACCAAAATCTCACCCACATATTATAATCCCTATTAAAACCTTTGAAACCTCTGACACCAAACATCACCTGGCTTATGTCCTAAAAAAAGGCCAACAGACCAAAGTCAGGTCAGGACGTCTTTGTAGAAATGCAGGTGGGAGACAAACACTGGGCATCCTGCACCCAACAGTTCCCCACATTTCTTTGTGGACATCTGAGCTAGTCACTACCTAGAGAAATCATTATACAGATAGTGGATCACAGATAACATAGTTCCCACAGATGCTTTTATTACCCAAATGAGCACCATAATGAATCACTATTGTAACCAAACAGATTTGAATTTTCTATTTTATTTATGTATTGTTCTTTTAAAGACAAGCCCTGGCTAGTGTGGCTCTGTTGGTTGGGCATCATCCCATGTACCTAAAGGTTGTGGTTCGATTCCTGGTCAGGGCACGTGCCTGGGTTGTGCCTTGCTCCCCAGTAGGGGGCATGTAGGAGGCGGCCTACAGTTGTTTCTCTCTCCCTCCTCCCTTCTGCTCTCTCTCAAAATCAATAAACTAGTCTTACAAAATACAATCCAGGATGTGGGAAACGATGACAAGGGGAATAAGAAAAACGCATATTATTTTTAAAGTTATCTTTGATGTTCTTTCTGTGCATTACTTTTCTGTAAGATGTGGTGAATGGTAACCAAACAGTTGATGAGCTAAACTATCCTTAGGATTTCTGAAAGAAAGAGAGGAAAAAATATAAGCAGATTAAAGATACAAGAGACATAACAATTTCAACTATTCTATTTACACCCTCATTTATATGTAGTTGTAAAAAAATTCATGAGCCTACTTGGGTATTTAACATTAGATATTTAAAAATACATTATTTTGTAAGGTGTGATATGAGTATATGGTGCTTATGTTAAATTTAGATGACTTGCTATGTCTGAGATTTGTTTCAAAATAATCAGGGAGGTGTATGAGAATACAGATGAAATAAGATTGCTTATATATGGATAATTTTGGGCATTGGGTAATGAGTAAATGAGGGATCATTACGATTCTTCTGTATTTGTCTATGTCTGAAAGTTTTCATATGGTAAAAAAATGTAGAAATTGTTTTGACTTTAAAATATATGTTCTTAATCGCTGAAAAGCCTACTATTAGTCATCTGTGGTGATTTCTGTGCAAAAGTTGGGAAGGTTGACTCCAGACCCTAGAAAAACAAGGTTCAGTGCCTCTGTGATTACTTGCCTTTGAAAAACTAGCTACAAATGATATAAAGAGAAAAGAAGAGTTACTTTCTTTTGTAAGTAACACTGAAGTGGAATAAATAATGTAAGTTATTAACATATTCCAGCTTTTATATAAAATGTGCTTATATATACTTTAACCCAATTTTAAGATTAATGTACACTTAATACCTCAAATTTAACATTACTACATATTCAAATAGAACAGAAATGGGATCAAAGATTAGGTTTCTGAGACGGCATATTTCAATCCAGAAATCATATAAGTGAAGTGTTGGAACTAGGACAAGTTTGATATGGCAAGTCACTTCTAACTACACAGAAAAGATGCAGACTGTAATGTTTACTTTTAGTTTATTAATTTATTTTGCAGAAATCATTGACTTTCCGAATATGTACTGTTTGGAGGTACAATGCATGCACAGCCTTTTAAAATGCCTTTGTACAATTTCACTTCAAAATAATTTGATTCACAGCATACACAGAAATCTAAGAGACATGGTATTTACAAGATTTAATAAGCTCTTGCGTTTTAATAAAGAAACTGATCAATTCTTTTACAGTAGGGAAACATGGACATTGGGTATCATTGAAAAAACTCAGAATTGTTCAGTCTCAAAGTAACTTTTCATGGCTTTAAAAATTAAAATTGAGCCATTCTATTAATCTCTGAATGCCCATGCCATGCAAAATCTACTTGTTTTAAATATCTGGGGTTGCACATAATATAGGAAAAAATGCATTTCTGGTGAATGTGAAAACGTCATCAGAATTAACTTTTACAATAAGAAAATATTGTTAATTCTTTCAGAAAGATACAGTAGTGGTGCAACACAGACAGTGCCCGATTTATTGATTTTTTTTAAAGTAACATTTCAATTATCATTTTCCTTCTCTACAGATATACAAACACACACTGTAACATGAACTCATTCAAAGTCTGAACAATGACTACAGTATTAAAATAAATCAATTTTAACTATAAAGGGACATCTTCACATTCCAGGATACATTGTTATTTTCAAAGAACAATTTTCCTATACCTTATATTCCTTTTGTTTATACTGTCAGACATTACAATTACCTTTTAAAATACTATATAAAACTCGAGTTGCCACAGAAAGTTGGATATGAACCCTAGATAATTGGGACAAAGCAATGACAAAATTTAAGGAAATAATTAAAAAGTACTACAATTGAGACCAGCTCCTTAAAAATTATTAAACTGCTCATCACACATCCCATTTCTTTCAGGGAAATAAACAAATTAGCAACACTTTCCCCACCATCGTTAATCTGCTCTACAAACTACCTTTTTTACAATGCATTTCTCTGTTTCTTTAAAACTCCTTGCCTCTCCCCTCTCCCAAACAAGGTCATTATCAATATGAAACACTTTTACATTGCTTAGAAAGTTTCTGGCTCCTCTATTAACCTCTATAAACTTTTAAGACCTCCAAAATTTAGGGGCAATGCACTTTAACAAAATGGTAAATGTGCTGTCTAAAAAACCCAGTTTACTAAACAGTGAACTATTTAAAATGTTTTGTTAGGTCTGTGTATTAAGAAAAAAACTTTTTGATGGAAACAAGAAGTGTGCCAATTGATCCAAAGAGCATAGGAACCCCTCAGCAGGCAGGCCCCATCCAATGTGTACCCTACCATTTATATGCCAATTGTCTGTACATATCAATCTAACTAGGAGATCCTTTACTTTGCAAGTTGACTGAATTCTTGTTCAAACTGGTCACAGGCAAGTAGTAGTGGATATATGGGACACAGTTAAATGTAACAAATTTATCAGTGTCAAATGCTTTTGCTTATTTAAAAAACTGAATACTTGTGCACAATCAGAAATGAACACATACAAAAAACTTCCTTCAAATCAATCTGATGTCTCATACCCCACCCTCAACCAGGGGTGGGGAACCTGTTTTCTGCCAAGGGCCATTTGGATATTTATAACATCATTCACAGGCCATTACAAAATTATCAATTTAAAAATTAGCCTGCCATATTTGGTCAGACTAATTTGATGAGGTGTGTGATGTTAGCTGGTACTGATTTCTTGGGCATTCTACGCCTGTGAGCCGGATGTTCCCCACCCCTGCTCCACCTCTTAAACAGACTGGTTGCTCATTTTCCCTGGCAGGTGAAAACAATGATCGACGAGATATATCACCAAAGGACTGGAACCATGCATCTACTGTATGATAGCAGCTTAGTAACCTGGATGTATGTTCATGCAATAGTTTTAAGTCACCTAAATGGTTTTAATAAAGCATCAAACTGTTTTCATACATGCTACTTTCATTCTCAACTGACAACTGCCCAGTTAGTTGCTGCCACTTGAGGACATCACTAATACTGGTAAACCTTTAGCTAGAACACCAAGCAGTATATATATTTCCCCCTAAATTGTTACTAAATACCAAGTGGGGTCCACCATCATTAAAGAGATATGAAACCATACAAAGGCAAAGGCAATGGCATGTTACAGAACAGGACTTCTAGACTGTTATTGGAGACTGACAGATACCAGTGTTACAAAAGCCTTTAAAGAATGCTGTTTTCAGGTCAATGCTTTTAAGTCCATCTGCTTTCTTACCATCATTTTCACAGTTTTGCCACAGTTGTTGTATGAGAGATGTTTTATCAGTGTAATTACTTAGCCATGCTTTGTGAAGTGTGAAAGTATGATTTTGATGGAAAACTAGGATGAGTTGTTGTGCCTTTGGTTTCATTATGCTAGTAAGTACAGCTTATGTTTCCAGGTCTGCCTGAGATTACTGCCGAATTAGAATACAGCAACATCTTGAAGTGTGTGTATGTGTGTGTGTGTGGGGGGGGGATATTCGTAAAGTTGTAACCTCAGGTAAAAACCTGAAGGATTAGAACAACTACCGATTGTATTGCTGTTTATATTTACACAAAAAAGGGAGATTCCAAAATCCAATTCTCCAAGATGGTAGAGACCTTAATTCAATGTCTTAGTAATAATTTTCCAGTGGTGCAGTCTAGTGAATGACACGATTTTATATCTCTTCAGTTATGCACACCCTAAAATTCTAAGTTTAATAAAGAAGGAGTGCTTCAGAATCAGCTGAACTACTTGGAACAAACTCAATGTTATTTCGGAATACAGCATGTTCAATTTGAAATTTTCTTAGTTTCAAAGTCCTTTGTATTCACCTTATTCTTAATCATATTTCTTGACTAGCCTTCTCTTCCTCCCCAAATAATGCAGTGTGCAACTTTATGATATTGGCCAACTGTAATTTCCCTCACTGGTTTATTAATGTATGTGCAAATAAATATTTACTGAACTGATATTAATTTTTTTCAGCTAAGTTAGGATTATGGCACAAAGTATTATCTGTGCTGTAAACATCAGGAATTCCTCACAAAACTGAAAGGAGGGGGCAAAAAAAAAAAAAAAGGCCCTATGCACTGCTGAGATCAAGACTTCCAAATGGGTTTTGGAATGGATTTACATTTGGCGTACATTCACTGTGCTACCAGCAAAGCACAGCTTTACGAGAAGGTCATTCATAAAATCATACTTTGTAAGGACTTATTTTTAAAACCAATGACCTAATAAAAGCATGCAGTAACTTAAAAAATATATCTATTATGTGGCATAATTAGGTCTTAGTTACCAGTGTTGATACAGGTTGATGAATCATTGTACAAGCAAAAGGGATCTTATCACCTCTGATTGTACTTTTGACAACGGGCACAATCTGCTTAATTCCTGACTACTGCAAATCACATTTTATAGCATCTTGGGTGTTGGAAATTACCCCTGAAAAAAGCAGCAATTACAAATACCCTTATTATTTTGCCCTCCCCCACCCCCAAATCATATTCTGAGTGCTTTTCCCTGTCCTTCTCTTCAGTAGGAAGCAATGGGATAAAGCATGGGGAGCCTTGGTTTTCCAGAGAGCTGTGACCAGGTAAGTCTGCTCTGGGAATTCACAGTTTGTCTGCATAAACTGTAACATGTCACACTATGATTCAAAGTTCTAGTTTATAAAATAAGGGCCACTCAGCAGTAACTTAAACAATTGGGATTCCACAGAAGAGTTCTTGACTTCTCTGTGTACATTCTTTCAGGAGTGAATCTTTTCCCAGTTTCAAGTATCCCTTTCTATCTCTCGATCAGTAATGAGTTAAGAAAGGGAAGAGAAAAAAAAAACCCTCCCCATTTTTCCTGTAGTGAGCACAGGCAGCTAGAGTGCCGTTCCTCCTCCCCCTATGTAATCTGAAATGAAAAGGCTGGACAGATGAAGATTCCCACGGTCTCCTTTCCTTCTAATGGGTGCTCAGTTTCACTGTCAGCCTGGTGCAAGCTCTTCTGAACTCAGGTGTACCGGGGCATCTCACACTGCTCACAGCGATTTAGTGCTGGGTGGTTCAGAAAGGTGCAGCTGTCACAATTCCATGGGGCCCCTTCATAGTCTTCATCTCGGGGTTGTGTCTGAGTACTCTGTTTGGAGCCAGCTAGATGCTCTGAGGAAAGTTAGAAAAGAGAGAAAGAAAAGATTGTTTTTTTCCAGGTATAATCCAAACTGAAATTTAAAACTACCAAATACACAAAGACAAACAAACAAACAAAACAAGAGAGGTAAGCTTTCTCCCTTGCCTAATGTGGAAGCCAATTAGTGTATATAGCTACTGGAAATGCATAACCAAACAGAAAGTTTATGATATATATTCTACTTTGTTCTAAACGATTTACTTTTTTGCTGTAAGAAGATAGAAGTCCAGCACAGATTACCTTCCTAGTTTGTTATCCATAGGTAGTGGGGGTAGTTATTCCAGCCAAATGAAAAAAATGAGATGTTATGTAGCATGTTAAAACTTAAAATGTCTATACCTAGCAACATAAAATGCTGACAAACTTATGTTAGTCCTTGGGGTTTTATTTATTATTATTATTTTTTATCTTCACCTGAGGACATTTTTCAATTATTTTGTTCAGATAGTGGGAGGGAGTGAGGGAGGGGGAGAGAGAGAGGGAGGGGGAGAGAGAGAGAGAGAGAGAGAGAGAAACATTGACGTGAAGGGACACATCGAGTAGTTGCCACCTGCACAACCCAACCAGGGCCGGGGACAAACTGCAACGGAGGTACGTGCCCTTAGCGGGAACCAAACCCAGGTCTCTCTGGACCACAGGCCGACGCTCTAACCGCTGAGCCAAACCGGCCAGGGCGGGGGTTTTATTTTTTAAAAACCTTGAAACTAAGCCTTGGCCAGATAGCTCAATTGGTTAGAGCACTGTCCCAATATATCAAAGTTGTGGGTTCGATCCACAGTCAGGGCACATACAAGAATTAATCAATGAATGCATAAATAAGTGGAACAACAAATCGATGTCTCTCTTAAAAAAAAATCAATGAAAACAAAACTAAAAATACCTTAAAACTTAATTTACACTCTTCCTAGGTCCTCATTCTCTCTGGCCTTGTGCTCAAAAAGGCGCTTTGCTTCTAAAGTTAATTTGTAAATCCTGCCTTTCAGGGACAGTTGGTCAGTAACTAGAGGCTAATAGAAGCTAAAGATCTCCACATGGAATTCACCCTGGAATCTGGAGCAAGGTCAGGAGGCTGTGAAAATCCACCGTAAAACACTGGAAAATCCTCACTGTGAACTGGAGATGACATTATGATCTAAGGTAAGCAACCTTCCTAAGCAGGTAACAAAAGAAGCAGATCTGGGAAAGTTTTATCAGTTACCATTGGAGGTTAAGCATATCTTCCATTTGAAATTGTCTTAAATGGCTGGTGTGAACATTCCTTAAGAGCTAAAGAGAACTAGCTGAGTGTTAGACCTTGAACCTTACAGCAAGTTTAAGGCTCAGGCTCAATCAGGAGGTGATCTTAGCCTCACAACAGAAGAGAAAACCACTGGGTTCTCCAGGCTATTCCTGTCACTATAAAAAGGAGATGGGCTTGTTTCTCTGGCCTCAACTGTCACTTTTAACTGCGATTATCACCATTTAATAGTTTTCTTTTTTTGGTCTCATGGAGGAATGAAAATCACATTGTCAAAGCTTTCTGTTAGAGGAAAAATGTTCTACATGCCCTTCATTTTCAGGAAAGATCCTCTCTTGTACAGTAATCTTTACCTTTTAAATGAACAAAATGCCCTGAAAGCCGAACACTTATAATTTAAGTATTTATCACAGAGTGAGAAAATTTAAGATGTTTAACCTTTAAACTGTTACATTACATCTTTCTATGCTAACTCCAAATGTAGCTTCCAATTTTATCTATCCTATCTATCCTATCTATCTATCTATCTATCTATCTATCTATCTATCTATCTATCTATCTATCTATCTCTTTTTCTTCAATCCTCACCCAAGGACACCTTTTTCCATTTATCTCCAGATAGAGTGGGAGGGAGGAAGAGAGAGAAACATCAATATGAGAGAGACACATCAACTGGCTGTTTCCGGCACGACCCCAACTAGGGTTGGGGACAAACTGCAACCAAGGTATATGCCCTTGACCAGAATCGAACCCACGACTCTTTGGTCTGCAGGCCGATGCTCTAACTGCTGAGCCAAACCGGCCAGGGCTAGCCTCCAATTTTAGATTGTAGCAGTGCAAATGTTTAATATGAAAAGGTTTTTCAAATTCCTCTTTTCTCTAAACTACATAAACCTAACTAATCCAGGAGGACTCGTTTCACTGTTTAGTACTGTAAGCGAGGAAACATTTTCCTCTCTTCTGTTTTCAGAGCTTCTCTTGCACCTACAGTTTCTCAAAATAATCCTAATACCAGAGGCATATTTTGGGGTAGCATATTTGCTATCCATTGGTACCCTAACAATTCCATTTGGCAAAATTAAGCACTCTGAAGTAACTTCTCAAAAAATATATTTAAAAGGCACCTAATTTAGAATTAATGTTGGTTCTAAACAAAAAAAAGACATGGCTTATTTCATTATAAGTAGTGTTTAAACAGAAGTATCTAGCCCTGGCCCATTTGGCTCAGCAGTCAGAGCATACCTGGGTTGCAGGTTCAATCCCTGATAGGACCATGCAGGAGGCAACCAATCAATGTCTTACTCTCACACACATTGATGTTTCTTTCTCTCTCTTTCTCCCTCCACACACTCCTCCCTTCCACCCTATCTAAAAAAAAAAATTAATGGAAAAATATCTCCAAGTGAGGATTAACAACAAACAAAACACAAAAGCATCTAAAACCCCAAATACATTTTAAATGTCTATGTTTATTTGACTTATAGGTGTGAAATCTTTATGGAATAGTTTATCAAGTTAACATATTTCAGGCCTCATGAAAAATAAAAACAAAAGAATATGCATATTTATACACAATGAAACTGGAAATAACTTTTTCTTTTAACAGGCTAAATTTCCATAAAATGAGCATCCTCAAAAGTATCACCTCGCCCTGGCCTTTTGGCTCAGCGGTTAGAGCGTCGGCCTGCGGTCCAGAGAGACCCGGGTTCGGTTCCCGCTAAGGGCACGTACCTTGGTTGCAGTTTGTCCCTGGCCCTGGTTGGTCGTGCGGGTGGCAGCCACTCGATGTGTTCCTTTCACATCGATGTTTCCCTCTTTCTCTCTTCCTCTCTCTCCCTCCCACTCTGTACAAAAAATGGAAAAATATCCTCGGATGAGGATTAAAAAAAAAAAAAGTATCACCTCAATCTAATATTGTTTATATCAAAGAAGAAATCAAAAAACTTCCTGGAAATCAATGAAAATTTTCAAAAATTCAAAATATTTTCTACACAGTTTTATTTTTCCAATAATGGGAAATATGCCAATGATAAGAATGAAGGATTTGTTTAACTATATAAAGTATAATGTAGTTTCAAGCTTGGTTTGTTCTTAGGTTGCGATCTTTCCACCTAGTTAATATAATAATACCAAGAAATACCAAGTAGAACACTTGTACAAACTCAAACATGTACAATATTTTCAGAAACTTTATTTTCACTGAATTACAGGATAAAGTTCAGGAAGAATTATAAAACTTTAGTGAGAAGTTATGAAGTCCAGAGCTTTCCATTTATATTTACTTGGCCTTGATTTCTAGATACTGTTATCTTACAGCAATCTGTTCAATGTGGCCAATCTGAATTAAGATGCACTGTAAGTATAAAATATACACCAGATTTTGAAGATTTAGTATGCAATAACAAATGTAGCCCTGGCCCGTGTAGCTTGGTTGGAGTGTCATCTCATGCAATGAAATGTTGTGGGTTCAATTCCCGGTCAGGGTGCATACTCAGGTTTCGGGTTTGATCCTGGTCGGGACACGTTCGGAAGGCAGTTGATCAATATTTCTCTCTCTCTCCCTCTCACCCCCCCCCCTCTCTAAAATCAGTTTTAAAAACAGAACTATTATAAAAAAAAGTTGACTTTTACTTATGATAGCTCTACATGGGTTAACACATGTCTTTGGACATTTTGCACAAACTTTGGACACACAAGTACAAACCATCTGCAGCTACTGCCTGGGTGTCATGGACGTCGGCCTGTACTTTGGAGGTCACGCTAATTCTTCGGGCTTTCCTCTCAATTGTGCAGGGGTCTGATGAGTCTGCATGAGAAAAAGTGAAGCCAGTTAGAAGGGATCAAGCCATTTACTTAGAAGAGTGGTCAGGCTCACAAAAATCTCTCACAGGATGTGCACAGTTGAGTGTTTACCCCTTCTATTATCACACATCACCTTTAATTCTTCTGAGAGGGCAAGTGCCATGTTTAATACTGCTTTTACAGCCTATGCAGAGCAGTGGCTCTTAAGACTTTTTCCATCCTCTCCAATCACATGGAATAAATGCCTTATTTCACCACTTTCCTTTCCCACTTTCTAGTGGGTTAGGGGTACAAACTCAGTAATTAAATGTCAAAGTGAAAGCAAAATTTGGGATGTTAATACTTTAGCAATTCTCTGATTAAGCAACAGTTATTAGAAAATTATGGGCTGAAAGTAAACTGCCCATATAAGGCTAACCAAAGAACCCATTATAATAATATTAAACTACAGCATTTTACAATTAAAGAACAAGAATAGCAGTACTTGATAAACCAGAACCAATTCAAAATAATATTATGTACTGACAATACATGCTCCCCAGTCATTTCATAAATTCCAATTACCTACGAGTGCAAAAGACCAGCAGATACTTTCCAACATGGACTGCAGGCATCTCGATTTTTTGCTAGAATACTGTCTCTATTAATTTATAGGTTATTAGTAAGTAGTCCTTTGTAATAATAAGTAAAAAACAAGACATGGCAGAACTCACATTATTTGCCCTTAAGAACCAAAAAAAGATCTTGCATTTCCTAATCAGTTCGTAGCCCATAAACAGTTCGCCTAGTACAACCCACCTTTGGAAATCAGTGCTCCAGAATCCTAAGTGTGGTGCTTAGACACTAAAGCACTTCATTATCAGAGCAAACAAAAGCAGAGTAAATTTCTCCTTAGGCTCCAAAGACTAAGGTACCTCTTAGATTTGTAAAGCACTTTATAGCATCACATGCCTCCTCCTTACCAACCCTTATTTAGCTTGTGTATTTTACAGCACTGATCACCTCTATAGTACACAAACTGGATCAGAACAAGGTCAGGTGGCCAAGAGAACCAGGACCAGTGCTCAAGTCATGGGACACCAAGATCAGTGCTCTCACCACTACGAGTCACAAATAACAGGGTGGGGGGGGTGGTAGGGGGCCTTTCTGAATCAGCTGAGGAACTTACATGTACACTGTATTGCTTAACTACAAAATCCAGTGCAAACTTCTGTCTCCCTTTCTATCTCTCATTCTCTCTAATACCACACTTATTATCCAGATAATCAGATAAATTATATTCCACTTGGATTTCTAGTATGTAACTGTAATCACCCCAAGACATTTATTTTAACCAATAAAACAAGTCTCATTATTTACATTTTACTTGTTTTTAAAATGTAAGTGGTAGGCAAGATGTTAAGTGTCAACCCAGGTAAACTTAAAAGGCCAATTTAGTTTAAAAAAAGAGAGTGAGTGAGTGAGAAGCTGTAAGTGCTTAAAAGTAAACAAATTTGCCCTGGCTGGTTTGGCTTGGTGGTTAGAGCTGTGGCCCATGGACCAAAGGGTTTTAGGTTTGATTCCCAGTCAAAGGCATGTACCTGGGTTGCAGGTTAGATCCCTGGCCCCTATGGGGGTATGTGCAGGAGGCAACCAATCAATGTGTCTCTCTCACACTGATGTTTCCCTCCCTCTCTCCCTCCCTCCCTCCCTCCATCCCTTTCACTCTCTCTGGGAATCAATGGAAAAACATCCTCAGGTAAGGATTAACAGTAACAAAAAAAGTCATTAACAACAACAATAAGTGTTAGCTTGTTCTATCCAGAATTTCATATAAACAGAATCATACAGTATATATTTTTCTGTATTTGATTTCTTTCATTCAGCATTATGTTGTTGAGATTCATGTATCATTAATTCAGTTTTTTGCTGAGTATTAGTCCATGGTATGACTATATCAATTTGTTTATCCATTCACATTTTGATGGACACTTGGGCTATTTCTAGTTTTTGGTTATTGTGAATAAAAATGGTATGAATCTGCTAAAAAAAAGTCATTTGTAGACATATGCTTTAGATTCTCTTAGATAACGCTTTAGAATTGTTTATGGGCTATAGGGCAGGTATGGTTCCACAAGAAATAGCTGAATTGTTTTCCAAAATTTGGGCTTTTAGCCGTTCTGGTGGGTGTGGGTTGGTACTTCAGGATTTTAATTTGTGTTTCCCCAATGTCTACTCTAGTTGAGCATTTTCATGTGCTTATCAGCCATTTTTATATATCCCTTTGTGAAGTGTCTGTTCAAATGTTTTGCCCTCTTTTTATTGGGCCTTTTATTGTCATAAAAGTTCTTAATATAATTGTCATAGAAATTCTTATTATATTCTTGATACTAGTTCTTTACCAGATATATGTTTGTCAGATATTTTCTCCCAGTCTGTGGCTTGCCTTTTCACTTTGTTAACAGTGTCTCTTGATGCTTCCTGTGTCCTGTCTGAAAATCTTTATCGACATCTAAGTTGCAAAGATAATCTGTTTTATTCTGGAAGCTTTAATGTTTAGCTCCTACACTTAGGTGTATATGACGTATCAATTTTTGTGCATAGTATGATATAAGGATCAAGATTTGTTTTTTTCCACATGGATATCTAGTTCTTCCAGCACTGATTACTGAAAAGACTTTCCTTTCTCCACTGATTGCTTTGGTGCTTTTGTCAAAAATCAAATGGCAGTGTAAGTAAAGGTCTACATCTGGGTTCTCCGTTCTGTTGCAGTTATAATTTTTTATTTTATTTTATTTATTTATTTTTGGTATGTGCCCCTGCGGGAACCGAACCCGGGACTCTCTGGTCTGCAGGCTGACGTTCAACCGCTGAGCCAAACTGGCCAGGGCTTTTATTTTATTTTTTAAAAAATTTTTCTTTATTGATTTTAGAGAGAGAGGAAGGGAGAGAAAGATAGAAACTTCAATGAGAGAGAACAATGATTGGCTGTTTCCTGCATGCCCCATGCTGAGGATCGGGCCTACAACCTGGGCATGTGCCCTGGCCAAGAATAGAACCTGCAACCTCTTGGTGCATGGGTTGATGCTCAACCACTGGGCCATACCGTCAGAGCTATCCTTTTTTATTTATCCCTATGCCAGTGTAGCTTTACAGTAAATCCTAAAGTTGGTTATCACAATACTTCCAACTGTACTCTTCTTTTTTAAGATTGTTTTCAATATTCTAAGTCTTATGCATTTCCACAGGAGCTTCAGAATCACCTTAATAATTTCTACCAAAATAAGGAAAAGCCTAGTAGAGTGACAACTGGTATGGCATTGTATCTACAAATCAACATGGGAAGAATAGGTATCTTAACAATATTGATTTAATCATAAATATGGTATATTATTCTATTTAGGTCTTTAATTTTCTTTTGGCAATGTTTTATAGTTTCCAATGTACATATCTCTAGTTAAATTTATTCATGTGTCATGTTTTTTGATGGTATTGTGAATATATATTAGCAAACTATTGGAAAATTTAAAATAAAACTAAAAATATGGTTTTTGTATCATGACATTATATCCCAAGACCTTGTTAAACTCACTTATTTCTAATAGTTGTTTTTCAGTACCCTTAGATTTTCTTTGCAAATACTCATGTCATCTACAATAGCTGCTAAAAAATGTCAGATGTTTTCTCAGCTGCATCTAGTGAAATGATCATGTGCTTTTTCTCTTTTATTATTGCATTCCTAAGCTAAACCCAATTTGGTCATGATGCATTATCTTTTTTATATACTGTAAATATTTTATAAAGGATTTTTTGCCTTTATATCCATGAGTAATATTGATCTAGAATTTTGTTTTCTTTTGGGAGTGGTGGGTAGGTAATAATGTCTTTATTGGGTTTTGGAATCAGGGTTCTAATGGTTCCATTTTTAAAAAATGGGAAGCTTTCCATTTTTAAAAATTGGGAAGCTTTCTTTTTTCCCGTTTTCTCAAAGAGTTTGTGTAAGACTGATATTATCTCTTCCTTAAATATATGATAGTCTGGAGTTTTCTTTGTGGAATAATTTTTGATATATTAATATTTCCTATTTCATCTTGTTTTCAGTTTTTGAATGTGTCAATTTCATCTAAGGTATCCAGTTTATTAACATAGCAATGTTCATCACATTCTCTTATTTGTGTTTTTTTTTAATCACTTGACTTCAGAGCCTATCGATTTTATCTTTCAAAGATCAAACTTTTGGCTTTGTTAACTATTCTTATCTTTCGTTCTACTTTTTAGTTTCTTAGGGTGGAATATTAGGTAATTGATTTTAGATCTTCTTGTCCTATACTAGCATTTAAAGCTATAAATTTCGACCAGGTTGGTGTGGCTCAGTGACTGAGTGTCAATCCACGTACCAAGAGATCGCAGGATGGATTCCTGGTCAAGGCACATGCCCAGGTTCTGAGCCCAATCCTCAGCAGGAGGCATGCAGGAGGCGGCCAATCGATGTTCTCTCTCATCGATGTTTCTATCTCCCTTTCCCTTCCTCTCTCTCTAAAAATCAATAAAATTTTTTTTAAATAAATAAAAAATAAAGCTATAAATTTCCTTCCAAGTGCTGCTTTAACTATTGTGTAGTAAAGAATCCGCTCCTGCCCAAAGAGAGTTCTAGCTATGTCCCCAGCTCCTTGGAGATATGAAGTTTCCCAAGTGATAGAAGTATCTTTGTTATTTATGGTGGGACCTTCAGACCATTCCTGAGAGTTTATGCTAATGAGGTGGCTCAAGGTGGACATACTGTCCACCATTTCTTACCAACTTGGTCCTCTGTTCCCAGGTAGCAACTTTTTTAAAAGAAGACTTACTGATTGTTTTTTTTAGAGGGAGGGGAAGGGAGAGGGGGAAACATCAATGTGAGAGCGGAACATCCATCAGCTGCTTCCCTCCTTCACACTGCCTACCGGGGGAATTGAGTCTGCAACCTGAGCATGTGCCCTGACCGGGAACTGCTCAACTGGCCATGGCCCAGGTAACAAGTTTTTAATGCACTCCCTTAAATAAGGTGATTCCTACATGACAGCCCTTGAATCAATTAACTGAAGTTTATCTAATGGATTACCAGTAAGCAATGCTTCCTTAGTAGACATTCAAGCAAACTCAAGTTTAAAGATTCATATTATTAATTCCAATGGTTAAAGTGATTAATGATATATAACCCAGTTATTTTCAACCTGAAGCTGTATATAATGTTGCCATAGTGCCAAATCTGGTACTAGGCAGTCATCCACTAAGATTGTTCTTTGTGCCATTTTTAGAAATTAGTAGGCTATTTTAAATGCAGATCAGATGAAACATCCACAGAAGTATTAAACAATAAAAAGAACAACAGATACTGTGTTGCAACCTATAAATGAAATACTTAAAACACTCCGTACTGGGCTTTGAAATACATAGAAAGTTATTTAACCAAAGTAAGTAATTTAGGTCAGGTAACAATATTTAGATAGAATTTATATAATCACTCATTAATAATAATTCTGATGAGATTTTAGAATGTTTACACCCCTTAGGTAATTTTTTTTAAGTAAGACATTCTTCATTATTTGTATATGTCTTCATGATCAATCTGAGTTGCTTAAAGCCTTAAGATCTGAAATGCATACTTTAGCTCAGTCTTGAGAATTATATTTATAAAATAACATAGGTTATTAATAAGAATGGGGCAGAAAAAGTTTAATGATTCTTTTAAGTTTAATTCAACTTAATTTCTTAAGGTAACTAAAATGCCAATTAAACACTTGGTACATAAAAATAAGAAGAGATTTGATACCTTTAATATTACATTGGAATGATTTAATAATTATTCAAAAGTGATTCCTCTAAATCTTGGATTTATATGGGCTCTAACTGTTATGCTCCCCTGTTGAGTACACAAGTATTCTTTTGTGGCCTGTCAAATAATCTTAGATCCGCTGTAGATCACACTTTCCACTCTAACACAGGACCTTTAAAATACTCACAGTTTTGTAAGAATTATTTTTTAGGATTACAGTTTTTACAGTTCCGGGTAAATTTTAATTATATATCCCATTTAAATTTTAAAGTTTGGAGACATTTTACAATTGCCACAGTAACATCATGGTAACATTTTTTGCTGAACAAGTTAATGAATATCTCTAGTGGAAATTTCTTTAACTATAAATGTGAACTCCCAAAGAATTTTCATATTTATTTGTATGATGTTTTCGACATTTCCCTACTCACATTTTATTTTTTATCTTTTTTTTTATTAATTAATTTTTGTTACAGATGTTTCCTACTCACCTTTTTTAGATGGCTTGGGTGGTACCACTGGGCCAGGTTCTATGTTGTCATAAAAATTATTCATGGCCTTTGGGTCAAAGTTTCCTATAAAGAAAAGAAAATTACAAGGCATTTAGAGTTCTTTCTCCTGTTATTTGAATTGTTTGTTAAGGAAAATGTGGAAATAAAACACGTAAGAAGGGAATCTCTTTTCCAGGGTTTCAAAACTCATTGTTTTTCCTATTCTTTTACCATTGCAATTGTTTTCTTTATCATTGTGAGAAAACAGCCAAGCAAACTAACACACCAGTGTTTATCTACAGTGTTCATCTAAAGGAATATTTTTCTCACTGTAAAGCTAGTTTCTTTAGGCAGGACTAAGCATGTGGCAAGTTTAGGGAGGTACATGAAGGAGAGAAATGAAAGGATGGCTGAATTGTTTTCTCTCTTTGTTTTGATTTTAATGAACAAACCATAAGAAGATTTTAATAGTGAAAGCTCACTTCCATATCTTTGATAATTTACCTTAAAACTTAATCTATCACAAATTCGACTATGAAAGAACCCCAATTTACAAAGATTTTTCAAGTGTTATGACATCAGCAGCTCTTGGATTCCTATCATCAAGAAAAGGAGAATCTTAAATGTCACCTATAGATTTATCAATGATAAAGATGATACAGTGCCAATTTCAGAATAACAGAACAATCCGTAAGAATTCTGCCACAAAATTTTCATCTCTTAAAATGTTCCCTCCCCGATCCTAGTATCTATTTCAACCTCATCTCCTGCCAGGACTCCTCCAAGGCCAATTTTGATCCAGGGCCAGCTTTTGGTCCTACCTTCACTTCTGTGAACCTATCACTGCAATCTGCTTGGTCTGGACAATTCCAATTAAGCTTTGTAACTGTACTCATGCTTATTTCCAGAGGATGCTATATGGCACTGGTAAGGTTCAAATGTATTAGATTTATTTCTAGACTAATTTTGTCTCAACATAAGTTTTTCTCACCAAAACCAACCATAAAGCTGCTTTTCATCAATTCATGCACTGCCCTGGCCGGTGTGGCTCAGTTGGTTGGGCGTCGTCCTGTGCACTGAAGGGCTGCCGGTTCGATTCCTGGTCAGGGCACATGCCCAGAGGGGTGTGCAAGAGGCAGCCAATAGATGTTTCTCTCTATATATATCTCCTTTCCTCTCTCTCTAAAAAATTAATTTTAAACAAAGTTAAAAAAAAAAATCATGCATTGATTTACATCTAATCTAAATCTCCCCAATTGTCTAGATTCCTTCTCTCACTTAGAAATTTAGATTAGAAATTCATATAAAATTTTTCCAGAGCACAGAAGAGTAGAAATTTAGAAATGCTTAAGCACCCAAAAGAGCTCTTTGTTGCTCAATGGAGACCAAAAACACAGCTCTTTGCTTATAAAATCTTAATAGTGGTTTCCCTTGCAGGTCCTATTACCAATGCTTTTATCCATTTGGCTATGCTATTTTAAGATTTTTTTCCCTGAAAATAATTCCTATGACAGTTCATGAAAGCCACAATGCTACTTGATATATTAATTGGATCTTTTTATGCTTTAAGATGCTGCATATGGATTTCTTCAATTACTTAAGTTACAGCTGATGTTCTAATTTCTAGATCCCATTAGGCTTACTATAAATATCCTAACCAAATGTTTAAGTGTTTGTTTTGCTTGAAAGAACACACAAGCAAAAAAAAAAGCAACGCTGTCTTCTAATATAGTAGCAATAGTTTGTATAGCCCCCACATTATGCATAGTAATTCTTTTGCTGCTTAGTAGGCTATAGAGTAACTAGGCTTCTGAAAATAATTTTAAGTGAACCTAACTAGATCATTCAACTTTCACATTCAAATTTTACTTTTATTCAGATAGTTCCACATCTTATTGGGTTTCCCTGCTTAAGCCTACTGTTTAACTTTGCCTAAAAATGGCTTTGGGGTACTTTTATATATACCTCTTAAAATACAGTAGAAGCTCTCTTAGCTGCCACAATTAAGAACAGTGGGGGAGGGGCTGATTAAAACACAGAATTGTTAAGAAAAATTACATGTCAACTTTAATGTAACAAAACATAAACATAATATTTTAGTGTCGGACCAAGACCTTTTCTTTACCTGTATGTTGACTGAAGGTTCTACATTGTCTTTCTTATATAAACTACACCTGTGATGTAGTTTGGTGATGTAGTATGGTAAGCAAACTTTATCTATAAAGGGAGATAATAAACACTTCAGGCATAGTGGGCCCCTCAACTGTGCCATTGAAGCACAAAAGCAGTTCAAGGCAATATATAAACAAATGGACGTGGCTATGTTCCATTAAAACTTTATTAAAAATAAAAATAAAATCAGGCAGCAGGCTAATTTGCTGAACCCTAATTTATAACTTCTTGTTTTCATTTCTTTAGAATGGAGCAAGAATGATACTATAAGAACATTTAATTTGAAGGCAGAATCCCCTTAGGTTTTTAATTTTCCCCTTAACCCTTTACAATTACTTTCACCCACATGTCTAATTTGCAGTCCCTATATGATTTGCCTTTGAGTCTTTAAAAGGTATTTGCCTTTGAGTTTTATAGGAAAAGCAGCTTCTCCTGCCTTCATGCTAGTTTAATAACTGATAAACAGGTTTAGGAACTGGCACAACTGACTCTTGGTAAGCAGACAAGTCCACTGACGGGAGCAATAGTAAGAACATCTCCATGCTGGTGAGCTGGGCAAATGAAAGTCAGTTAAGAGAGCTTCTACTGTAGTGCACTTCTATAAGAAAGCAAAACAAACAAACAAACAACAACAAAAAAAAACAAGAAAACTCTAAGATATAATTGGATATTTTCATGTAACATAACTTATAAAAAATGGCACATGAAATTAACTTTAAAACCAAGAAATCTGATCTTCTGATTTGGGATCCCTAATGTTATAAATATTTTGGATGACTCACATAATATGAACCCACTAAGTTTTAGAGTCAAAACCCATCAACTTATAAAATATTTACAGTAAATGACTAAAAGAGGATAAACACAGAGTAATAACATAGACTGTTCTTAATAATGAAATTACCAAAGTAAAACTATTTTTTGATCCCCCAATCTGATCTATGACCATGGGATGGAGTGATCTCTTTACCAGGATTGTAACCTTATAATGGATAAAAACTATCTCTTAAGTCTATAAAACCAAAATGATTGCTACTTAAGCAGCTTAAAATACCACACTATTACTTATGGTTTATCAAATAATCAAGTCTATACCTCTAGATTGAAGGAGGTCAACTTCTTTCAGTGTACAGTCAACATTTATCTGGAGTTGTCTGTTCATGCTTCTCAATCTTGTCATTTCCTCAGGCTAGTAAGAAAGGACCCAAAATAGCAATTGTGGGAAAGTCATTATCAAGCCCAACATTTAAGAACCACTATTCACATTAATCGTTCTGATTGGTTATTACCAAGAATATGGCCATAGTCCATAAGAGGGCATGATTAAGAAGTCCTATGTGTTATTTTTCAAGGAATAGTCAAGTAAAATGAGGACATCAGTATGGCCACATTGAAACAATCTGCATATAACGTGGCAGGCTATAATATTAGACTGTTCATACAAAATACTACCATTTTAATCATAGAACACTGAGAATATTTTATTTCTACATTTTTATGGTAATGGAAACTGCCAAAAGTATGAACCTTTTAAACAAACAACATCCATGAGTTTAGTCTTGTCTGGGATGGTTAAAATGACAACAGTACTAATTTTAATTAACACTAAGTGGCAGGCACTGTGTTCACCAGAATTCTCTCATTCTTTCCTCAAAACAATCTTTCCAGGTAAGTACTAATATCACCCCCAATTTAGACATGAGAATAGCTGAGGTACAGAAGTTATATAATTTTCCCAAGGTTATAAGAGAGAGAATTTATATAAAAGTCTTCTATATAAACTTATATAGAAGCAATTAATCTTGTACATGAAAATTTCAGAACAAATGAATTCCATTCTTCCTCCAACTTTGTTTCCTTCTGCCTCAACCTTTCCAGCCCAACCTATTCCTTAGGTCTTTCGGGGCCTACAGGAGAAACTGAAATGTGAAGAGAGCCCTATTCTTCAGTTAAATAAAGCTTTCTGAAAGCCCTTCTTTCACCTGACATTCTCAATTCCTTTACTATTTTACATATATGTACAGTAAAAAAGTTGGAGTTTAGACCCCAGAGGCAAGCGTACTGGAAGCTTTCAGCACAGCCTACATAGTAACTCAGTTTTTAAAGATGATTCTGTAAAGACAGAAAGACAAAATAAAATCCCATTGTTAAAAACATGTATTTTTCTAAAAACTAAATATGTTGTGATAACAGTGAAGAAAAATGATCAAAAAGGGTTATTTTAATTCACAATAATATAAGATCTTATGCTGTTAGGAGGTATTAGAATAACTGGGAATGCCCATTATATTAGCAGATATCAAAAGTTTAAAATAAGTGCTACAACAGGCAAAATATAAGAGCTACAATTCAGAGGAACATTAAAGTCATTTAGAAAAATCTATCAGGGATTGCTTTTCTTTTCTCATTCCTATGGGTAAATCATGTGACATTAACATATAAGTGCTTATTATACCTTACCTAGCAACCAGGCATTATTAAGAGTTTAAAACATACCTAAACAGTTATATTAAAGATAAAGCACTTGTTCAAGGATTTCAAAGAGTGATGCTATCTTCCTAGGAATATGTGAAAGAACCTATTTTCTTTGTAGAATCATATAAGGAAGGTCAAGTACTTGAAGGAGCTGATCCTTCCTATATATTGGGGTGGGGGAAAATGTTTCAGCCATAGTGTCCCTGAATAGTGAAGCTCTGTAACTACGTATGCATATATTATAATACACTTTGTAGTCAAGAAAGAGGCTACTGCACATCTGCTTATAACAACAACAAAACACTTGTCAACAGGCTCATTTCTAAAGACAGCGGAACTACTGGAACTCACTAAATTAACAGTTTATCTGTGAGATTCCTATGTCCTTTTTCATAGCTTGTGATTGAGCCTGGCCAGTATGGCTCAGTGGATGAGCGTCGACCCATGCACCAAGAGGGCGCTGGTTCAATTCCTGGTGAGAGCACATGCCCAGGTTGTGGGCCCGATCCCCAGAGTGGGGCATGCAGGAGGCAGCCAATCGATGTTCTCTCTCATCAATGTTTCTATCTCTCTCCCTCTCCCTCCCTCTCTCTCCAAAATCAATAAAGAAAACAAAATTAAAAAAAAATAGCTTGTGATTGAGAGGGAAAAATCATTTGTCAAAAAGTACAGTTTTTCATGGAGAAGGGTTTCCAGATTGACTGTGTGTAATTTACAGTTGTCTGTAAAATACCAGCATGTTTATCTCAACTTTCTTCAAAAGGTGACAGAAATACCTTGAGCCAACTGTTTTAGCACTTTAAGAAACTGTCTCACAGATGGTGGCATGGCCCCAAGTATGTATCCGGGACTCAAAGCTGTGGGTTAGTCCAAACACCCAATTCGTCAGAACAAAATGAATGGGAGAAAAAAAATTGGGGAGAGGATGTAATTGACAGCTCTTTGCCTATTAAAAATCTTATTTATCCTTCAAGGTATAACTTAAATTATCCCCTTCTCCGTGAAATTCTCTAATCTTTGAACCCTACCAGCAAAAAACTAACATTTCTATCTCTGAACCCCAAAGGCATTTAATATCACTACCATTCAGTTGGAGAGCACTTCTGATTTACTGCCTTACATGATCTTTTCCCTCCTTCACACTCACACACAAATACATGTAGGCATCTCCCACGGCGTTTAATAGTAGATTGAGGAGAAATGGTGGTGGTCATTCATCTTGCACTTTTGCCCTCCTTAGTTCCTCTAAGTTTCTGCACTTGTACACAGAGCTGGTCAGAAATGTACATTCCAGTCTCATTAGTCACACTGCTAACCAATTTTTTTATACACTGCTTGATAAGAAATAAATTTGTTTGAAAACCTGAAGGTAGCAATAGATGCTCAACAGCAAAAAAGTCAATTCTCTATTAATAATTCTACACAAGGGGGACAATGATAAAATAAGGATAGCCATTTACTGAGTACCTACAACATGCCAGCCACTTTACATACATTGTGTCTTTATTAAAATAAACTGCAGAGCCCAGCTGGTATGGCTCAGTATTTGAGCATGTCCCATGGGACTGAGAGACCCCAGTTCGTTTCTGGTCAGGGCACATGCCCGGGTTGCAGGCCTGATGTCCAGTGGGGGGAGTGTGGGAGGTGGCCAATCAAGATTTCTCTCTCACATCAATGTTTCTATCTCTCTCTCTCCCTTCTTCTCTCTCTAAAATAAATAAATAAAAATGTATTTAAGCCCTGGCCAGTTTGGCTCAGCAGTTAGAGAGTAGGACCACAGACCAAAGAGTCGTAGGTTTGATTCCAGTTGAGGGTACATACCTCGGTTGCAGTTCAGTCCCTGGCCCTGGTGGCGGTTGTGAGGGAGGCAAACAATCAATGTGTCTCTCACATAGATGTTTGGCTCTCTCTCCCTCCCTCCCTCCCTCCCTATCTGAAGATAAATGGAAAAATATCCCCGGGTGAGGATTTAAAAAAAATATTTTAAAAAAATCAACTGCAGAGAAATTAGATATAACCAGTGAGTGCCAGAGCTGTTCTGGCTCCAGAGCCTATGCAGGCACTCGTTCAATTATGTCATGGTGCCCCAAATGAGCCTCTATGAACACAAAGAAAATTCTGACAAAATCCTTTGTTTTCTGATTAATTTCCTACACATAATATACCCTTGTGTAACACATGTCCCTGAAGTTAAAATCATTTTTACAAAATGTTTCAAATTTGTGTATGTATCTCAAGCAGATTTTTCCGGTATCTTGCAACTAACCTTTATTTTATACTATTTGTTGAGCATTATATAAATTGTTTAATGTGTTATTCTAACAAAAATCCCATCAGATTGATGGGTACTGACACATATTATCAGTAATAAAAAAAAGCATAAAGGTCACTTATCCAAGGATATGTGAGTGACATGAGAGCACCAGAAACCTGAATCAAGAGCTCACTGTTTTAACCATAATTGTCCCTCAGCCATGCACTCCTAATAGTCCTCCATTTTACTCCAGGCCTGGCAGCAGAAACACAGGGGAATCACACACCCAAATTTCTCCCTTCTCATATATTATCACCCACATGAGCTATCAATTTCTGAAGCTGGGTGATGGCTGCATGGGAGTTCATTCTTTTATTTATCTTTAAAATTCTCTATAATAAAAAGTTAAAATTAAATTACAGCCCAGGACAGAAGTTTTACCAACTTCCCTCTTTCTCTTTTTTTTAAAAAGAAGTCTCATCAATAAAAGCTCTCATCTAAAATCTGCATTTTGAAGCACTGACTGATTTGTGCTACATTAGACAGTTCTCTACTTCCAACAAAACCAATAGGGTTTTATTTAGCAGGGATTATCACACAGCAAGAGGTTGCTCATCAAAGCATATATGGTTTTGTTATAGAAAATAACTTCTATGCTAAGAAAATTTGTTTATGCCATGCAAGTACCTAAAGGACTCCAAAGTGCCTAACGACCACAGGTGGTTTCCTGCATGAGTTACATTCTTCAGTATCTTCCCTCATCAGAGGATTCAATTAAGATTTTAAGTGAGAACAAATGAGGCAGAAATAGCACCTTTCAGTTAAAGATAGCTTTGGAATATTCCAAGAGTTTTCAATATTAGAAAAATTCTCACTAAATTATTAAATATGCCTGTTTCTCAGCCCTGGCCAGTGTGGCTCAGTTGGTTGAGTATCATCCTGTGCACTGAAAGGTTGCTGGTTTGATTCCCAGTCAGGGCAGCCAAACAATGTTTCTCTCTCACACTGATGTCTGTCTGCCTCTCTCTTTCCCCTTCTCTCTAAGCATGTCCTCGGGTGAGGATTTAAAAAATGAATACAGCCCTGGCTGGTTTGGCTCAGCAGTTAGAGCATCGGCCCGCGGACCAGAGAGTCCCAGGTTTGGTACCTCGGTTGCAGTTTGTCCCCGGCCCCGGTTGGGGTCATGTGGGTGGCAGCCACTCGATGTGTCTCTCTCACATCGATGTTTCTCTCTCTCTCTCTCTCTCTCTCTCTGTCTCTCTTCCTCCCGCTCTATCTGAAAATAAATGCAAAAATATCCTCGGGTGAGGATAAAAAAAAAAGAATACAAATTTAAAAACAACCCAAAAATGCTTGTTTCTCAAAAACATCCACTAGTTCCACATGACCAGCAAAATAAAGGTCAAACACCTCAGCCTAGTGTTCAAGGTCTAGGTCCCATTCCACCTGTGCACATTAACCTGTTAAGACAACAGAAATCTCAGCTTAAGCAAGGGAACTTGAACTGCTACCTCCTGAAAGTCTCTGTCTTGTCTTCAAGTCTTTGTTGCCTATTCTTTTTCCCTTCTAAAATATCTTCCCCTTTCCTCTCTGCTTACACAGCAATATTATAGTGTTTAGGGCAGTGGTTCCTCACCCTTTTTTCCTTCAATCTAATAATAACCTTATGAAAATCAGATGAAAGCTATAGACCTGCTTCCCATATAAACACACATACGAAACTGCATATAATTTCAGGATTCACAAATCTTCTTTGAGGCCATGAACCTCAGTTAAAAACTTTTCTTTGGGGCCATAGCTACAGACATGCTGTCTGCAAGAGGCCTGCCACATATGTCCACTTTTCTAAACTTCTAAACTTTGAGAGATTACCCTTAGTTTAGAGAGAGAAAGAAAATGAGGAATGACTCTGAAAAAAAGTAGAGATTGAGTTGAGCCCTGAAAAAAACAGGATTTGTACATGCAGAGCTTTAGAATGGCATTCCAACACGAATGTGAGAGAGCAGAGAAGTACATTGAGTACATACAGAAACTAGTTAATGTATAAGTTCTCTTATCACTAACTGTACGCATATGAGCACTTATCACTGTATTATCTGTTGATGGATCTATTTCTCCCACTAGCAGTTATGTACTAAGCACCTAGCATTGGACTATATTCACCAACTATAAAATATGGTAGTTGACTGAATGAATGTTAAAAGGTGAAATTACAGGTGGTTGGATCAGAAAAAGTTTGTGCTGCCACAAGATTTTAAAGACTTGTTTGAAATTTTTCAGAACTATTTAAAATCTTTATTAAATATTAACCAACATGTGAAAAATATATTATCCAAATCTTTTCGTTAGAGCAGTTCCTGTTAGGACTGTTGTCAATACTGTTATTTTAGTTTCCACAATTATTTACACTTAACAAAATTGCTCTGCCTAAAAATAGTCTATACTCCCCAAATTCATATTGATCTCATTGTAGCTCATCTGAATTAATATACGTAGAAAACTGATTTTTAAATGTTTGGAAAATATATATAATATGCTTAGAAGAACACATGAATACATAAGAACAACTTATAAAATATTTGCTCAGGGTAAACTCTTCATTTCTATTTTGACAGAAAGCCATTTTTGTAAATAAGATCTATAGCTTGATTATAACTGTCAGTATCCAAAAATACTAATGAGCCTATGAAATTCATACATATGAAAAAAAATAAAGCATCAAATTATTTTGATGAGAATTACCCAAGGCGAAAGTCCTCCATCCATTGTTTAAAAATAACAAACTTGGCCAGAAACAGATCACCCCCACCTTCCTATCCAACACACCCCAACAGATCACTTACCGTTGGTATTGGAGTGGTGCAGCTGACCCTTCTGAGCCGTCTCTGCATTAGGTCATGCTCCATACTGTTAACTTCAGCCTTCAATCGCTCTAGCTCCTCTTTCTCAAGTTTCAGTTGCTTTGCTAACCTCTCCATCCTTGCTCGCTGATGTAACAGCAAGGCTATATAGCATTACAGATAAAGTCATTGCAGAAAATAACATTGAACAAGTGACCCAGAAATTTCTATATGCATTGCTAATGTATAGAATATCTATAAGGAACCACGTTATCCAACTTGAGCTGGCATTTACTTTCATGTCTTTCTAATGCTATTCTACTTCCATATCTGCTTTAATTTAGCTCGTAACTGCTGCCAAAATGTCATCATCTATCCGTCCCTCTTGTTCTGTCATCCACAGTTTCCCTAAGATTTTCCCCATTTTAAATATCAGGCATGCTGAATTATAAATACTTCCCTCCTTATATACTAAAAGAAACACTAAATTCTCAGATGTCTTGAAACAATCTTAATAGACTTTAAAAAACTCTATTCTCCTTTATATTTAGTTAAGTCCATTTTTAACTAATCTAACAATGTTCTTTCTTCATTACCAACATTACCAATCCAACTTCTTTTTTTTTTCTTCTTTTCTTCATTGATTTTAGAGAGAGAGAAACAGAGAGAGAGAGAGAGAGAGAGAGATAGAAACATCGATGAGAGAGAACATCGATTGGCTGCCTCCTGCATGCTCCCCATTGGGGATTGGGCCCACAACCTGGGCATGTGCCCTGGCCAGGAATAGAACTGGCGACCTATTAGTGCATGGGTCGACGCTCAACCACTGAGCCACACTGGCCGGGCAATCCAACTTCTTATTGATATCAGTGCATCCTCCAAGCCATCCTCTTTTTAGAAAAGATTCAAATTCTTTCACCTTGATCAATTTTAATTTTAGTCTACCCTCTATGAATCTTTTTGTCCCACTATGTAGTTTGTATTTTTGACAGTACCAAGTTCACTTATCTACATTTTTCTCCCAATGTCTGTTCTTCCAAAATAAATGTATTATTGGGTCACTATTCTACCTTTTCATATATTTTAAAATTAAGCCTGTAGCTGACTCTCAAGCATTAACCCTATTCTTAATAGCAATGCTACTGCCCAGTATTTAATAAATACTACTATTAAACATTTAATTAAAATGAAATAGCTTATATAAATTACTTCATTTTGAATAGGAGATTGCCACTCCACAAAAAAGATTAAATTTCATGAAAGTGATAAAATTACCTTGTGTATAGGCATAATCATCTGATCCAGAACTAGAACTCCTGTGATATTTAAGGCTTCCCTTTTCTCCCCCCGAGCCTGGTATCACTGAAATGGGTTGAATAGGTTCTGGGGCTTCAGAAGGTTCTTCTTGGTCCACTAAATTTAAAAGATTTTCAGTCGTTGCTCGGCCTACGGTAATTTTAAAAACTGTAGTTGGGTTTGGTATCACCCGAGGAGATGGTGATGGAGCGCATGAAGGTCCACTTGGCTGTGTATATGTAATATACACAGGATTAACACTAAATGGAGGTTTTGGTTGACCGGATATCCCTCTTGAAGGAGAACTTGAAGGTGGAGTGGTGGCTGTGTACATTGAATGCTGATTCCGTGGAGACGGCTGATTACTGATAGGCGAAGGACTCCTTTGAGAGGGTTCAACTGTAATTTCTATCTTCTTCATGGATCCTTTGGGTAAGCTAGATGTTGTGTACGGGAGATAAGCTACTGAGTGGTTTCCCTGTTTGTGATAGCTAGGAGGTCCTTGTTGATATGGATGAGGTGGAGTAGTTGAAGGACTAGGTGGCATAAAGATGTGAGAACTCGGGTGGCCCAACTGTGAAGGTTGCACTTGATGCTGTGGAGAGCTGAAGGGTGAAGGACACTGCGAAGGAGGTGGCGAATGGTAAGCAGGTTGAGGGATCTGTTGTTGTTTGGGAGAATACTGAGAAGGTTGATAGTTCTGTTGATGTGGATAAACAGGTAAAGGACGTTGGCTATAATGAGACACTGGGCCCTGTGGTGAGGACTGCCATGGTGTATTCTGAGGAGTTCGTCTTCCGGATGGACTCTGAGATGTCTGTCGAATATAAATAGAACCAGGCGACCCATAGAGATTGCTTGGAATTTGTGGAAGAATTTGTAAAGCTCTTGGTACAGTCTGTCCAGAAGGGAGGTTTTGGGATACTGTAACAGTAATTGGATTTGTACTATACCGAGGTATGTGCATGTATGAAGGAGGTGGCGGTGGTGGTGAAGGCCCCTGCATAGCAGATGGATTCATTCCTGCTTGCATGGAAGATGGCTGTTGAGGTGGCTGTGAAGGAGGAGTAGCTGCACTTCTGTTCTGTTCATTCATAAAAAATGGATTGTAGTTGGGAGTAGCAGCCACAACAGCTGGGGCTGAGTGTGGTTCCGGAACTAAGTGTATCAGCTGTTTACCTGCTGCATGCTGTGGATCAATATGTCCATCACTTGAACTATGTACCAGTGTTCGACCACCATTAAGTTGCACTCCATCTCCTGGGTGGTAGCTACTAGGAGAATGGATACCCAGGTTAATATGCAAAAGGCGATTCCTATTCATCCTGTTGTCATCTGGACTATGGTATTCCATATATAAGTATTTGCTACTCTCCTGGGAAAGGGCTCGGCAACAGGCTTCAAGATTGTTGTTATTCTAGGAGAGAAAAATGATAAAAGTAACATTGGCAAGATCAACCCATCCTAATAGTGGAAGTCAAGTTTTGCCAGAGTTATGCAAATATGATTGTCATAGAATAAGCAGAGAACAGTATTTTAAGCACAAAAGGCTTCAAGGTCATCTATCCTGAAAAGGAGATCTCAAACGATTCATATTATTTTACAGACATTTAGCTCACATGACTAGTACTACTGCTACTGCTAGTGCTACAGAAATATCTACTTCTGAACATTGTGACTCAAGCCCAACTTTTCTGACTCTAATTCCAGGACTCATTTTATACTTGTGCATCTCAACAAATTAAAATGCTATGCTAATCTTGGATTCACTGCAATTGCTGTAATATACAAGTATGAGTAATAGCTATCATTAATATTTAAATTGATAAACATGAAGATAACCATGCTTTAAGTTTTCTAAAGACACTGAAACCACAAGAAAAAAAGCTTATAATAAAAATTCCTACAGTCAAAACGATAAACATTCTTTTTTCCCCCTTTATTAGTTTTAGAGAGAGAGAGAGAGAGAGAAACATTGATGAGAGAGAACATCAAATGGTGGACTCCTGCATGCCCCCCATTGGGGATCTGGCCCACAACCTGGGCATGTGCCCTGACTGGGAATTGAACCGGGGCCTCTTGGTGCATGGGTTGACACTCAACCACTGAGCCACACCAGCTGGGCAAAACAATACACACTCTAAAGCAGCCTTCATTTTGCTTTTAACCAAAGTTATCCTTATATAACTTCAACTGTCTGTATCATTATGAAAGATTAAGCTAAACAAACAAACAAAAAAAATAAGTTAAAAAAAGTCGACTTTTTGAACTATAGCTCTACAACTTCACCAAAGTTATGGTAATTTAACACAAGACCAGGTCTTGACCGACTTAATGAAATTCTTCATGCGTCTCGAGTTTTTACCTGATGAAAGGCAGCTTGGTGAACTTTCAAAATCATTTAAGGATTTGAACTTTTTGAGTCACACACACACAGATGGTAACAGCAAACAAACATTTTAGATGTTCCAGTTGACAGTAATGAAACTATTAATGGGTTCCCTTTAAAAAATTTTAAGATATAAGGTAGTTTTCCATTGAAATACAAAATTTGGAACTATTTTATTAGTCTAATACACTATTATTTATTGCCTTTGAAATAATCTATTAATGTTTCTAGCCTTGGCTGGTGTGGCTCAGTGGATTGAGCATGGTCCCATGGACTGAGAGGTCCCAGTTTGATTTTCCAAACCTGATCAGGTCAGGGCACATGCTGGGGTTGTGGGCTCGATCCCCAGTAGGGGGGCGTGCAGGAGGCAGCCAATTAATGTTTCTATTTCTTTCTCCCTTCCTCTCTCTAAAAAATTCAATAAAAACATTTTTTAAATTGAAAAAAAGAAATAATCTGTTAACATTTCTCAACCATCACATTCTCTGTAGTTCATAAATACATATAAATATGCACACTAATAACTATCACCATATATTTATTTTAACAAAAAGTATAGGTTATACAAAAATCTAAGGAAATGCTATACTTTTGCAGAGAAACAAATAAGGTTAAATCTAAGACAGGACACACAATGCTGCAATTTTAGAGCTGGGAGAAGGATTCTTAGGGTTCAGGGTTCATTTACTCCAATGCAACTCATTTACAGATAAGAAAAGAGATGCCTGGAAAAATTGCATGGCCTGACAAGCACTTAACAGGAAGGAGGGCCAGGTCTATATTCTAGGTCTCCTGACTTCAATGCTCTTTCCCCTAAAACGCAAAAATTTCAAGGGAGAGGATGTTAGGCCAAAAGTATATTACTATACTAAAGCTTTAGGAAGTAAAAGAAATTTGGTCAAGCAAACCTTTGTAAAATAAATTCTTAAAAATGTAAAGAACTGGTGTTATCAAAACCCCATAGGTAACTTTTATCCTTTCGTTATATAAAGCTTTTGATTCTCAAATTCTAATACTTTTAAAAATACTTTCTGAGCCATAGAAAAACATAAATGTTGAAATTAGAAATAATCAGAACTCAAAGTCTAGGTTTTTTTCTTATCTTTCTTGAAATCATGCTGATCAAGGCAGAAAAGCTAGCTATTAAGCAAATTTGGCCAGGAGCCAAAGGATTGAAATTGATTGCGAACTAGAAAATATGACTGACATAGCTGAAGGAAAAAATATGAAAAGTGAAAATAAAACTCTCTCAAAGTTTTTCTTTTAAGCCAATGGATTAAGAAGAGAACACAAAATTAGAAAGTTTTATTTGAAACCTAAAGTAGTCATGGACACTTTACTATTTGGCATTTTTATCAATGATCCTGAAATTTCATGTTTTCTACATTCAATTAGGTAGCCTAATTCATATTGTTGCAAAAAGGATCCAAATTATAAATTATACAAAGTTGGATTTGTTAGCCTATTTCAAATATGTCTACAGTGACAAGTTAAATAAATTTTCCTAGGAAGAAAAAATTTAAATCACAGAAAAAGATATTTAAGTATTTTAAAACAGAATACACCAGAATAAGAATAGATTCAAATGTCATATTTAACCTGGTAAATGTCTTAAAAAGAAAAAAAAATGGGTAAAAAACTTTTCAAACAGTAAACATGAAGAATAAAAAAATCAAACTGTTTAGTTCAAGAGGTCAGAATTTTTATTAAGACATATATAAACACTCTTAAAAGGACCAAGGCAGAAAAACATCACCCTCAAAAAGTGATCTTAGCCCTGGCCAGTTTTTCTCAGTGGTTAGAGTGTCAGACTGTGGACCAATGAGTCCCAGGTTTGATTCTGGTCAAGGGTGCGCATGTGCCTTGTTTGCGGTTCGTCCCCTGGTACGGGTCGTGCAGGAGGCAACCAGTCGATGTGTCTCTCTCACACTGATGTTTCTCTCTCTAACTCCGTACCACTCTATCTAATGATTAAGAGAAAAATATCTTAGGGTGAGGATTAAAAAAAAAAAAAGTGACCCTAAATTGGGAGATGGTAGCTCAGAGAGAGGCTGTAAGGTTTATGTATTAAATGCAAATGAATGAGTATCATGTATTTCAATGCAAACAAACTTTCCAGACCCAGTAGGAGGTAAATTCCATATCAATTAGCACTATTAATCCCAAAGGAACAAAAAAGCAAAAGACTAAGGATAATGTAAGTTATCACCAAATATTCATTGAGTTCAGTTTACTAAGTGACAAGACACTAAGCCATGACAAAAATACAGGTAATAAAAGACTAAGTAAAATAAAATTAAATAAAAAGATCAGAGCCAGGAGGTGGGGCCCTAGGAGATTGTTAGTGGTTTAAACCAGAGCCTCACTTGGTTTCACTCCAGTGGGAAATACCTTTGATACAGTTGTAATTAGCTAACTATTAATAATAAAAAAGAAGCAAAGGGAAGGGCCAACATTATAGACACATTCCTTGCAAAAGACAGGAGGATGGGGACTGGACAAAGGGAAGATTGGTGCATGCACAGTAAAGTTGGTATGACTAGGAAAAGTGCTTGTGGTCAGTCATACTGGGGAACAGAGGTCTTTGGCCTGAATGGGCATGGCACTGCAAACACTTGAAGATTGGGGATACTTAATTCCTGAATAAAGAAGTTCACTCTCTTATGCTCTTGGCTTGCTTGGGACTCTTGGGATTCTGGGCTTGTGGGGCTCTTTTACAACTGCTTTCCTGCATTCACCCACACACAATGAACTAATGGGCTGCAGCTAGCCTGATGCTGTACTGGACCTGTCGCCAACATGGAAAGGAAACCCTGGACACTGGCTTTGCTTCTAGCTTCACTGAAAAACCAGCTACACCTCTTCTACGACTGGACTAAGAGAAATGGGGCTCTGGAAACAAGGGGATTTAATTCCACACAAAAATCACTCATTCTCCCATGCGAGTCTCAGAAAATTCTTTTCTCGAGGACTCTACCACCAGCAGCACCCAATGGGGAAGGTGACCCCCGCCAACTTCATCTGGTATCACATTTACTCTACCAGAGACCAAAATGAGAGGTTAGCCCAACTGGTGTGGCTCAGTGGTTAAGCATCGACCCATGCACCAAGAGGTTGCCAGTTTGATTCCCAGTCAGGGCACATGCCCACATTGTGAGCCCAATCCCCAGTGGGGGACATGCAGGAGGCAGCCAATCGGTGTTCTCTCTCATCGATGTTTCTATCTCTCTCTCCCTCTCCCTTCTTCTCTCTCTCATATCAATAAAGAAAAAAAAATTAAAGGAAAAAAAATGAGAGGTTAAAGTAAAAAGCAGAAATTCAGACTGAAAATGTATGTTAGAAAAATCAAAGATATGCTATAACACTAAAATCATAAGCCCAAGGTCTAGACCTAGTAAAGAGGGTTCTCAAACAAAGGAAGCACCTCTGTTACCACCACTGTTCTGTGAGTCTCTCTATTCGTAATTCACCTCAACTGTATATAGGCTTAGGTTATATTCTGAGGCATTCATACTGCAAAAAGGTAGAGTTTGAACTGATTGTGTGAGGGAGTCCAGTGGGCAAGACAGAATTGCTGCTCCCAAATGTCAACCAGTAAAATGCTATAACCTAAAACACTGAGATCCTCTGAAGGATGATATAAAAGTCAACAGAGGCCCTGGCAGGTTTGGCTCAGCGGTTAGAGCGTCGGCCTGTGGTCCGGAGAGACCCGGGTTTGGTTCCCGCTAAGGGCATGTGCCTCAGTTGCAGTTTGTCCCCGGCCCTGGTTGGGTCATGTGGGTGGCAACCACTTGATGTGTCCCTTTTACATCGATGTTTCTCTCTCTCTCTCCCTCCCACTCTATCTGAACAAAATATAAAAAAAAAAAAAAAAAGTCAACAGAGGAAGTGCTAGGCCTGTTTCTCTGTTGCCTCTTGAGTGGGAAGACATGGTCTATCATAATCAGAGATGAAACATCTTTATTTCACTAGAAGATAAGACAAAAGGAATGTGATTAAACTAAAGAAAGTGGCCTTACTCTTAAATCCTGCTCTAAATGTTACCCCCACCCCGCTACATAAGAAAATTTAACCGAGTTCTAGTTGTCACAACACAAAGCCAGCTCTAACAAGGAAAAATATAGCTTAATATCACTATAATTGGTGGGTAACTGACCTGTAACATGCACTGAGATACCACACCCTCTGGAATCTCAGGGAAACGTTGTCGGAGGTCAAGGAGAACCTGCATATCAAGCTGTGGACTGCTTTTCGCCATGCCAGAGCAAAATGGTGGTCAGGTTTCTCTTAGGAAATGTATGCTAACCAGCCTTCCAGTAGTAATGGTCTTCCAACACCACAGTCATTTTCTATGAAAAGAAATTAAGGTATGGTTAATTATATATTTCACTTTATTCAAATAGAAACCATTAATGTATTAAAATAGAAAGTTGGAAAACTGACAAATTCAACTTAGCCAGAGACTTTTCTGATGTAATATGGCCATCACAGATTTAAAAACAAACAAAAAAGGCCAAAAATCCCCCCAAACTCCAATTTCATTTCATCATTAAAAAAAAAGCTATATTAAAAATACATAGTATTATTATTTGGCAATCATATTTTTCAAGCCTTGAGAAATCCTAGTTATATATAATCACTCATGTCTCCCAAGGGCTATCATATGTATCACTTCTCTAAAGCAGCGTAATTATTTTGATGTCTGAAATAATAAAATAAGGAAACAAGTACTTATCATCACCACAAAGCATGCTTGTCCTGTTTGTCTTACAATCTCCGTCTTTAAAGCCAAAAGGTTTGAATTTGAAGTCTGAGTGAAGGAAACCCAATGCCTAAATGAAATAGCTGGGCAAACAAAAATGGAAATGTAGAAACTTTGTTTTTAAAAATGATGATGGTGGCCCATCATTAGCCAGACCTCCCCAGCTTGGCTTTTATCTACTTGTGATGCCACTGGCAAGGTGCTAAAATGGCAGGATATGGGAGTACAGTTTAAGTAGAGGAAACTGACCCCCGGTCTTACTGGCACTAGTTGAGTTAAGCACCCATGTAAACAAGGCAACTAATGCAGTAATAATGAAATCATAAATCAACTGGCAGCATCAAGGGTCAATTAACCAATCCAATTTTTAAGCTTTATTTCCTTTTTTTACTGTTTTGATTTTTTTTTTAGAGAGAGAGAGAGAGAGAGAGGAAGGAAGAGATACAAACATCGATGTGAGAGAGAAGCATCAACTGGCTGCCTCCTGCACGCCCACGCCCCCTACTGGAGATTGAGCCTGCAACCCGGGCATGTGCCCTGACCGGATTATCAAACTGGAACCTCTCAGTCCATGGGATGATGCTCAATTCACTGAGCCACACCACTAGCAGGGCACCTTTTTTTAAAAACTGATTTATTGAGGGAGGGAGGGAGGGAGGAAGAGGGACAGAGGGGAGGGTGGAGAGGGAGAGAGAAACACTGATATGAGAAATACTGATTGTTTGCCTCCTGCATGCACCCCAACCAGGGATAGAACCTGGTACCCTTTGGTGTATGGGATGATGCTCCAACCAACTGAGCCACACCAGCCAGGGTTTATTGTATATTTTTAAAAGTGGGAAAAAACATAGTGTATACCATACAATCTCCTATTTCTGCTGTGCTCAGTTGCTAGTCAAATATTTTTAACAATGAGAAGTAATCACCTGCATCTTCATAGGATTCCATGCAAACCATAATTATAAAACATGTCTAAACCACACACATAAAGGAGAGTTATTCCACACCAAATTTTCTATTTCTTGCAAATAGGCCCCAAAACTTTAAATCATACCTTTACTTAAAGCAATGTAGACAACATAGAATGTTTTAAAAATAAAAAGTATTTAAAGAAAATATGGAATTACTTTTGCTGGTTTATAATTAAGCAGATAATTAAAAAATAAATACCACGGAATCTTTAACTGAACTTTCATTATAGGCACGGAATTTCATTTTGCATGCAATCTGCTGATTCTTACCAGGCATCTAGCTGTCTCTCTTCTTCTTTCCAAGCTAAGACTATTAAGAGTTATGTACTTTTTGTGTCTATGAGGTGGCCACAAAGCCTCTATGTATAAGACTCTGCCTAACCATATGTGAAAAGAGCCATTGGGGACTGCTTAATGACTTCCAACCATTAACAGGAAAGATGTCCAAGGAACATAAGGAAAAAAGAAAAATGTGGGTGAAGAATACAGATAACTTCCAGTGTGCACATACATGGACCTTCTGGCCACCTTGTACTATTCTGATCCTTACAATTCATTCTTGTTCTAATGTGGCTCATCTCACTGTTCTTCTACAATACTCTATCCATTATCTATTTCCCTGCCTTTAAATCCAGATGATATATCTTCTGGTCCCTATGCCCCTTGACCTCTGAAGCATCTGACACTTTTGGCAGCCTCTGTGACATCATACTAGCCTGGTTTCTTCTCACCTCTCATCACATTAATGTTTCCCTCATTTTTGCCCTAAACTGCCTCTTCTCATTCTACCTGTTTTTGCCCAGTGATCACACCCACTACTAAAGTTTCAAAAACATTTAAAGGCTGATGATTCCCAAATTGGTATCTTGAGCATCATACTCTCTCCAAAACTTCAGACATATAGCCAACTGCCTGAAACACAGCACCATAAGGATATGCCCGAAGATATCCAAAAAGGAACTCCTTACCACAACCCTTCCCCAAAGGCTCTCTCTGTTCTCTCCATGAATGTTACCACTCAGTTAACAAAATTAGAAACCAGAGTGTGATCCTTGACTTCCCATTCTTGCATAACCAACTAAACAGTGTGAAATCAAGTGGGTCATGGTTTACACCCTGGTTTTGGCATTTATTAGTCTCTAGAAAAGAGATTCAATTCTTACACCTTTGAAGTTTCAACTGTAAAATGGAAATAACAGAATTTTTTAAATGTTTTTTAGAGAAAGATAAACATCTATCAGCCTCCTCCTGCTGTGATCAAGCCTGCAACCCGGGCATGTGCCCTGACCAGGAATCGAACTGGTTCCTCTGTCCATGGGATGATGCTCCATCCACTGAGCCACACTGGCCAGGCAACAGTAGAATTTAAATGGAAAATAGTCTTAAATCAGGGAACATTAGTTACAATTATTCAGGGCAAGTCTGAATATAATTCTCATCAACTTTCTGCTGATCTCCCTCCAGGTCTTGCCTTCTTCCATGTCACAGCCAGAGTATGTGTTTTCTAAGATGCAAATCTGATCATGTTCCCTACTTTCTCTGTATCCAAACTAAACAGCCATGTCCATCCCTTTGCATAGATGTGCTGTACTGCCTTTTCTCAGGGCATTAGCCCATGATCATTTATCTGTCTGAGACTCTTTTCTATCTTCCTCCTTCCTCTCTGCTTCTCCAACCCATAATGATCCCCCACATGCTTGCACTGGTGGCAACTTCCACTGACCCTTCCCTTCCTTAGTCCTACCGCCTTGTCTCTCTCCTCCTACACTGGGCTAGAGGACCCTCCATTATAGTCCCACAGCAGGCTGTGCTTATCCTCATTGGAGAACTGAACACATTATACTGAAGCCACCTGTGTACCTGAAGGTCTCATATAAAACTGCTGATCCACCTAAACTGTGCTGTTATGCCAGAGAGTGAGGAAGTACTCAAAAAATAATAGGAGCTAGTCACAAGGACCTGTGAGTCAGCTTAAAGAGGCTCCCACTGACTAAATCTGTGACAATTTGAGCGCCAAAATAATTAATGACTGTAGTGAATTATAGGCCTATACAAAAGAGGAACCCATGATCCATGTCAGTAACAGTTAAGTACAAACTTACATAGATGGAGAGGGGGAGGGCTTTTGCTAAAATCCAACTGGTAAACATGCAGTGATAGAGCTGGAAAAATCATCATTTTGTAGCCATCACAGTATACAGACTGCTTCAAGCAAGAATCAATGGATACTATATCTAGGGGGAAATCTGAACAAGGAGTAGGATATATAAATGGTCTTAAATTATCTCCCCAAAGAATTGCTTATTAGTTGCAAGGGGGAAAATTTAACTATACAGTGGATAAACTGAGCAACATTCTTGACTGGGTGATCAAATTAACATCGATGAAGGACAGATGGACAGTGCATGCCTCCAGATGTGATACCCTGAGAAAAACATATCACTTTATTGTATTCCAGTCATGAATGCATAACCGGAAACTACTCATGAGGAAACAGACAAACCCCAAATGAGAAATGTTCTATTAAAAGAAAAAAAAAACAGGGGGTGAGGGGTAGTGAGACTATCATCTTAAGAATGCCAATGTCATAAAAGAGTAAGGCTAGAAAAATATCAGAGATTAAAGGAGACAGAGCCATGACAACTAAATTGAATACCTGATCCTAGACTGAGTCCTATACTAAATGGAAAAATATTTTTTAAAAAATGGATCAACTGAAAAAATTGAAATGTGGATAGTGGATTAGAAAAGACATTCTATTGTTAAATGTACTGAATTTAATCAGTTTACTGACTTGATAACTGTGCTGTGCTTATGAGAATAGCCCTACTTTTAGGAATTAGGCAATGAAGCATTTAGGGGTCAAGGGTATAACATATGCAGCTTACTCTCAAATGCTTCAGGAAAAAAACTATGTATATACAAACAAGCATGCATACATATGCACACAGAGAGAGGCAGCAAATTATAAGGCAAACAAGAAAAAATGTTAACAATAGATGAATCTGGGTAAAGAGTATATGGTGTTCTTTTGTACTATATTTTTTCTTGCAATTTCTGTAAGTTTGGAATTATTTCAAAATTAAGTCAAGCTCGGCTGCTGTGGCTCACTGGCTGAGCATCAACCCATGCACCAAGAGGTCGCTGGTTCAATTCCTGGTCAGGGCACATGCCCAGTTTGTGGGCCAAATCCCCAGTAAGGGGCAAGCAGGAGGCAGCCAATCGATGTTCTCTCTCTTATCGATGTTTGTTTCTCTCTCTCTCTCTCTCTCTCTCTCCCCCTCTTTCTAAAATCAATAAAAGAAAAAAGATTAAAAATCAAAACAAAACAAAAAGCAAAAAGAAAGCTTGTAGTACTATCAGGGGCTATGTCTTATTCACCATTACATTTCCAGAGCCTTACCCTAGTACCTGCTCAAAATGTTTATTAAATGACAAAGAATCAATTTTACTATACTAAACCAATCTAGCTAGTAAGATAGAAAAATATACAGATGAACCTTGCCCCTTATCTCCTGCACACCCACCACAATAAAATATTGGGGATCAGGGATCACCTATGTAGAATAATTTGTGAATTCTTAGGAAGAAAGAAAAATAGGTTTAAGCTACTGAATCAATGGGTATATTTTTCCAGTTTTGCCCCTTTTAAAACATCCCAAATCTGAAATGCTAAGAGATTCTGCCAAATTAACAAGCTAGGCTTTAATTTAAAATGTAAATTATTGCCCTGGCAGGTCTGGCTCAGTGAATAGAGCGTCAGCCCAAGTACCAAAGACTCGCAGGTTCAATTCCGGTCAAGGGCACGTACCTCTCGTTTGTGGTTCAGTCCCCAGCCCTGGCCGGGGTCATGTGGGAGGCAACCAGTCGATATGTGTGTGTGTGTGTGTGTCTCTCTCTCTCTCTCTCTCTCCCCACCTCCCACTCTATCTGAAAATAAATAGAAAAATTTCCTTGGGTGAGGATTTTAAAAATAAATAAAATAAAATGTAAATTATTTTAAAGTCCTTAATTACTTCCCATTTTCACAATAAGGGAATTAAATTATTTTATTAATTTTTTTTTTTTAGAGAGAGAGAAATACAGATGAGAAGGACACATCAATCGGCTGC